AGTTCATAAAATTGTAGCAATTTTTTTTACCTTGTTTCCTTTATCAAAAATTGTTTCGTTCTTTTTTTTTTTTTTTTAAATCTTTCTCTAGTCGAGTTCTGATTATAAAACCATCGAGGCTAGGTCAATGGATTTATACATTATAGACATTATCTTTTGACTTTCTACTATAGAAAATTTAGAGGCGTACTTTTCTGATCATATTATGTTAAGAAGAAATATCAGAAAAAAAGATACCTACTATATGATTTTGAGTTTCTTTATTTTGGCTAGTGACTATTTTTAAAAAAACTAAGTAGAGTTTTTAAAAAACTAAGTAGAGGGTAGGAGTCAAGACTTCATTGTTGACCAGACAACAATCTTGTAGAATTTATATTGTCCTAATGTTTTTATAATATTTGAGAACTTTGATTCTTATTCTTTACCTATAAATCTTGTTGAGAGTTTCAGCATTTTTGTGTACCTTTATCTCTCTTTAAAATTTCTACTTAGAAACTTCACTTGCATCTTATAAGAATTTTTGAACGTTACCCTGAATCCATCTGTTTTGTATTTTTAGACACACTACCTCATCTATGGGAAGGGATTCCAGACTTGGGAATATTCCCCAGTTTATGCCATTCGCTCCTATGCTTACCTGTTGCTTCATGCCTGGCCAGCTGCCTTTCATGCAAGAATTCTACAGACTGATAAGGTAAGAGCAAGTCAACGTGGAAACAATGACAATTGACGAGGAGGTAAGTCTCTAGAATAGTTTTGAGAAAAGGACAAACTAGATTGGTAGTTTGGAGGCAATATTGTTTGAAGTGGTCATTTATTCATTCCTTCATCATTCACCAGGTGTTAATGGGGCAACTTTTATTTGCTAGAGAATGTGTTAAGTGCTGATGAGGTAACATTGACCAAGTGTCTGTCTTTGTGACACTTAAAGTTTAAAGATTAAAGTGAACATTGAACAGGTACTTATAAATATGGTGAACTTTATGGAAGAAAACCATGATGTGAAATGGGTTAGCATATTAGGAGGACCTAATTTAAGCACCTGGTGGTGTTATGGCTTAGACATTGGTGTTGCTGTGAGCTGTTAATCACAGGGATGGTAGTTCAAACCCTGTCGTAAGAGAAAGATGAGACTGTCTGCTCCTATAAAGATTTACAGTCTTGGAAACCTATAAGTCAGAATCAACTTGATGGCAGTGAGTCTGGGTTTAGAATTTAAGCAGAATGTTGAAGGATAATTGATGGAATAGCCAAGTAGGACCTAACCTGATTAGTTTTCACAAGTTTGACTATGATGTGTCTTGACAGGGATTTCTTTGGGTTTATCCTGTTGGTGTTTGCTCAACTTCATGTTTATGTGGGCTGTGTCTTACAAAGTTTTCAGCTGTTACTTTTTT